GATACAGGTTAACTCTTTACAGACCTATATTAGTTACCATTTATGTGGCAAAGTACAATCTACAGGGGGTGGACAAAATAATAGTAACGCCTAATTCTACACATCCATCCATTGTCTAACTGCTTACTCCTGGTGAGGGTCATGATGGTAACGGGCAGACCAGAGCAGACCTTTCCCAAGCAGCAGCCTCCAGCTCCTCCTGGGGGATTCCCAGGTGTTACCGGGCCAGCTGAGAGAAATAACCTTCCAGCTTGTCCTGTGTCTGCCCCAGGTCTCTTCCCAGTAGGCCATGCCTGGTACACATCCCACGGGAGGCACCTGGGATGCATCCTCACCTCTCGATCCAGAGGTCCACTCGGATTGCTGAGCTCCTCACTCTCTCATGGTGAGCAAGCCCAGCAGCCCCACAGAAAAACCTTACTTCACTTGTACCCGCTAACTCATTATTTTAGTCACTGCCCATAGCTTGTGACCATAGGAGAGGATAGGGATGTAGATCGACCGGAAAACTGAGAGCTTTGTCCAAAAATCCAACTCTGAGCAGTACAGTGGCTGCACCAATCTACTGATCAATTCCGTGATCCCCTCAATCCAAACTTTTGTGAATACAACCCCATGGTACTTAAACTCCTCCACTTGGGGCAGCTGCTCCTCCCTCAGCGGGACAGCCAATTCTTTCCAGGACAGAACCAAGACCTCCGATTTGGAGCTGTAGACTGGCTGCACACCTGATCGCAGTCAGATGAGGCACACAGGACAACATCATCCGCAAACAGCCGAGATGCAGCCCCTTAAGTCTCCGAACCGGACACACTCCAGACCTCGGCTGAGACACGATGTCCTGTCCTTGACACCCATGAACAGGAAAGGAGACCAGTTGTGCCTTTGGAGGTCCACCTCGAAAGTGCTCGACTTTCGTTTTGCAAATCCAGAGACTGGAAGCATGCAGCAGCAGCCCTCACACCCCATACACCCGCAGCCAACACCTCCCGAAAGACACCCCAGAGTAGCCTTCTCCAAATCCACAAAACCTGTAGACAGCTGGGGGGGGGGCAATTTCCCATGCCCCCTCAGGTATCCGTGGGAGGAGAGAGAGTTGGTCTACTGCTCCATGGCCAGCAAGGAATCCACATTGTTCCTCCTGTATTTGAGGGTCGACTATCAGGCCGAGTATCCTTTCCAGCGCCCTGGCACAGGCTTTCCCAGGGAGGCTGGGGATCCCTCTGTAGCTGGAACACACCCTCTGGTCCACCTTTTTATAAATGGGGACCATCACCCCAGTCTGCCAATCCAGAGGCACTGTCCCGCCTTCCACGTAAACATGAAGAGACCCGTTACCCATGACACCCCAGCACTGTCCTGCACCTTCAGTGTTACTGGCCAGATCTCATCCACTCCTGCTCCCCTGCCGCTACGGGTCTGTTTCGTCACCACTGGGACCTCAGCCACAGAAATGGACCCAGTCCCACCAGAGGCTTCTGCCACTGCATCCCGAAAGGAAGGCATGTCCGCCGTCCAGCGGATTCAGGAGTTCCTCCAAGTGCTTCCTTGTGCTCCTCTAAGCAACTTACCTATATCTTCCTCGATTCCCAGCTGAAGTTTCTTGCCCTCCATTTTCTCAATCTCTTCATCGTTAAACTTGTACCAGTCATTAGTCCTGGTGTCCCGCACGTGGGCAATGTAGTGACCAGAGTAGGCGCTCACACCTCGGTGAATCAGCACTGCGGTCAGCTCATAGACGCATTTCACATCTAGCAGAAGTACAAATCAAAAACAACGGTCAATTACTCAATAGACCCTGCTAGCATAAAAATGAATTCAAAGCAACGTGCATGGGTTCTGCTACATTCAGTACATGATGTAGGCCTTGCAACCTATAGTCTGTCAAGCAGACAAAACCATAGTGCCTCAAACATAATCTGATAGTAGCCATCTGATGCAAAGACCTCATCCAGCCATTTCTGGATCAAAGCCTGTGTATCAGCTTCAGTCCAACGGCTGGTTAGCTTTTCCAAACTCCTTGAACCCATGGGGTGAAGACGTTCTTCCTATCTTCGAGTTTAAATTCAATTTCATGTGGTTACTTGTGTATCTGGTCCTTGTTTCATCAATCATTGTGAAGAAAACAAGCGTGTGGACTTTGTCAGCGCCTTTGAGAATCAATGCTCACCAGATGCATTTCTTTTCAATATTCATACGGAAATGGAAACAGAAAGGTAACAAAACAGATTTCATTACCATGAGTTAGTTCTAATTATAATTAACTAACACTGAATGGAAGACAAATTGACTGGAAACAGTAATAAAAAGTCAAAAAACGTTTCTCAAAAAGGTTAAGATATATAGTCCTGTATTGATAAAAATATATATTGTACTGCCAGTCAGAATTATTGAGATCACCTGGTTGATTTTCTAAAGAAATATATGTAAAAAGGGTGCAGGATAAATTATTCATTTATATTTAAATGAATGGCCTTATTAAAAACCTGCTTTTCTTTCTTTATAAGCAATTACATTTAATTTGGCAGCGTGCTGAGGACCTGTTTTCATCCATTATTTACTTTTCAAGAGGCAGAGCGAGATGCCAGACAAAAAGGATGACACTGCATCACTGTGCTGCCCAACACTTAACAGCGTTTCATTTAAAAACGTAAATAGCACAATTACCGTTCCGTTCCAAGAAGGGACCCATGTCCAAGGTTTCAGGAAAGCTAATGAATGTGTTCAACTTCTTCTTGTGACCAGTTTGCCTAAACAGATCATACACAAAAAAATCAAACACAACATTATCATACTCAGCTTCCACCTGTGTTAAGAAACTAGAAACTATATTAGAGCTAGAAACTATGTCCAGGAGTAGAGTACACCGCACTCAAGCTCCCAATGTAACAGCTTTAGCTTCAGAAGGAAAGAAACCCTTGACATACAATCACCTTACTGAACTGACAAGAAAGTGGAACAATTCATTTTTCATACGGATCAGAAGAGCAAGCAAACAGCCAAGGAATTAAGTAGCTCAGGTGGGGAGCTGTGTCAGCATGCGTAGTCTGCAAAGGAACAAGTAATAGGTTTATTCCCTGCTGAAAAGAGAAAAGAGGAAGCTTCACAGCCGAAACGTTGCGTTTTCTCTCTTCTCTTTTCAGCCAAGGAATAAATACTACCCTATATTACCCCATATATCTCAGAATGTTTTAAAAGAGAAATTAACAACAAAATGTATTATGTGTATACACAGTATACACCATGGTAAAAATTAAAAGTGTTTACATTTTAATATGTAGTTGAAGATTTTAAATTTAAGATTAGTATTCTGTCTATGCTTCCAGTTGATATTTTTAATGAGGTTTTACAATTGTTCCTTCCACTGATTACACAAAAGGTGATGCTACAAACAAACTTTCTACTATTTTACAACAGCTCCTTCTCTATAGCTCACAATAGTAATAGTTTATGTAGTGGTGGTGATTCAACCACATAATATTGTATTACTGGCACACTTTATTGCATGTATAGATTGTTTGCCATTTTTACTGCAGTTGCTGTAATAAAGTTACAGGTGACATGGCTATACTTTATCATTTTTACAGTTCTAACCCATTCATTTAAAAAAATATGAAAACATCCGACAGTTTCTGAGACCTACTGTATGCCAACGTATTGTAGTATACCTCCAAAAACCTGATATTCAAAGTAGTATTTCTGTCCTGTTTTTATATGAAAAGTATTTTCACAAAAACTGTTGCTGCCCATCACAGCAGAATTACTTAACACTCGTATGAAGACACTCTAAATATAAAAAAGCAAACACAAAAAAGCAGATACAGAAGTAAAATAAAATATGTAGGCCCAACAGTTATGGTACTATACATTCATTTATTTTGTACACAATTTTACTTATTTTATAAGCATTGTGGGCAATCACTTGTGGATAACCATAAAAAATGCCATGCAGTCTAATTCTGCATGCGTTGTACATGTCTCACATCACTGGGCACTAGTGGTAACATACACTATGAGCGTGATCTTATCTATGTAAGCCTTGCAAGGAAATCAAGTCAGTTCCCATACTGTGAACCAAATCTGCCCTTTGTCTATACACCAGTACTAAAGAGCAGTGTTGTTGGGGGATGTCTGAATGTTCCACTACTCAGAGCTGCAGTGCAGAGCTCACCTGTCAAAGACGAATCTCATGAGCTGTAGGTTAAGGGTGCGAGGAAGACTCTGGAGTTTTATTCTTCTTGTGGCATTCTGCTTACTCTGACAGCTCTCGCAGAAATAGCGGTTGTCCCCTTCCAGTTTTTCTTCCTGTAGAGACGATTGAGACAAAAATGACATTTTGGAGCAAGAGGAACACGTACACACACGATACCATACAAGAGCTATTGCCCACGTTACTTTAACTTCACACAGATGAACAGCAATATGGCAAGAATCCATTTCCTGGTAGGCACACTCTGAATGTTGGGATGCTTTGTAGACACAAAACAAAGGTCACGTCCACTTTTTTTATGAATAAGAAATAAAAACAAGCTATCGATACTGTGTATCAATTTTATGTTTTACATATTTCTGTTGTTGCCCCTTTAGAAAATGGAAAGCCTAAACTAAAGGGAAATGGAAGTCAATTACGCACAATTATTGGCATTTCTGCAATAACACAATTGCTGTGTTCCTAGAGAACACTGCAATATAAAAGCCACATTGAAGAAACCATTAGTTCAATGGGTATTAAGGGGTGAGGGGACAGAGCTTGGATTCACGATATCAATGGTCTTTTTTCTACAGTAATCGGCCATATTATTAGTTTGTGCATGTCTTCTGCATTATGTATTTTTGTGATCATTTTAAACAGGAAACAGAGGAAAAAAAGATAAAATAATGCATAATATGCATCAGTATTTCCATCGCTAAGGGCTGAGAATTTCTGCAGTGGAAGTGGGCGAGACAACATTTTTCGTAAGAGTTTTTGTCATGACACTACTCATCCCATTAGCTCAAATCATATCACTTTATAACTTCGATGTTCTGTTCCAGAGTAACAGCTTTCCTTTTCACTTGGGCCTCATGCATGAGCCGATCATTCAGACCCTTGCCACACACTGTAACAGCAATATTTAATAGGAATACATCCAACCAATGAAAATATAGTCACGGAGCACAGATACAGAACGTCACTGCGTGCGGGTGTGCAAGAGAATACCCCAGCATTCCAAGCGCGTGTTGTTGACGCACAACAGTTTTTACTCCACGCCTGTGATTAGTCCCAGTGTGCTTGAGTCACGTTATAGCCAACACTGTCTGGAAAAAGAGTTCTCTAATAAATCAACCACTCTATAGTCAATTCACATTATGGAAACGGCACTTGACAACACCCTGTAATTTTAACAATGTTAAACATTTCGCTATGTACCTAAGAAAAAATGTAATAATTGCTTCAGTACCATAAATGGCTTTTCCTCTTACTTACACTCACAGCAAAGGCAAATCGCAATTGACAGCTCCCATGTCATATACAACATATGTCCCTTCTATGTGATATGTCGCACGACGACCCTACACTGTGATATCACAAAATAAAAATGCACTGTCTTAACAGTGCTTGCACTGAGCACTGTTTGCATCCTAACAAAGGAATTACAATGTATGTAAAGTCCGCAAAAAAAAATGAATGTTCTTTTAAAAAAGGAGATTTGTGCTCCAAATGCAGAAGATTTATGAGTGATTTACCTTGAGAAACTCAGTCACGCAGTCTGTAAGCTGCTTGTGCCCTTGAATGTTAAGCTCCAGCTCATAGAAGCGGGACAAAAGCTGTGATTCACGGCCACAGTGGTTACACCTGAAATTACAAAATTTAAATTACTACTGAATAAGTCTCGTACATAATCAAAAAAAGAAAAAATTACTTTCATGTTTCACACACTTTTTTAGGTATTGTGTCTTTATCAGGCATTTTTGACACCTTCAAAAAGAATATAAAAATAGGTAAAATAAGGCAAAATATTTTCAAAAAGAAAAAATGTGCAACCTGCAGAATCAGTTCTGTGTTGAGATTCTGTACATGCAACCCCTGTCACCATCTAACCTGCAAACGCAGTCAGGGGACCTTAAGAAGCTCTGTACTACACACAGCTTTTATCAAGAAACGAAACTAACAAATCACATTAAGAACTGAAACTGAACTTTTGTCAGTTGCAACACCGTGTGTGAACAATTAACGTGAAAAGATGTCCAGAGTAAGTGCTAGAAAATCTAAAAGAAATCACAGTAATGTTTAACTGGCCCTGTAAAAAAAAAAACTTAATTAAGACTCACATTTTCGGAGTCAATTGCTTTAATGGAGCAGTATAGAGTATGATTGTGAGACTATTTAATACGGAAAAAAACAGAAAACCGTGGAAGACAAATGTTCAGAGGAGTGAGTAAGGTCAGAAGGATATAAGCCGATTCCAGAAGCAAGTTGATCCCAGGATATTTAAAACAACCTGAAAGCATGCTATTCACCACCACTGTTATCACATAACGCACATAACATAAAGCACACTTCTGGCCAATTCCAATACAAAAAAAAAATTAAAAATGTAGACGAATTGTAACTTCTGAGATTTTCATTTGTCAGGAAAAGTTGCAACGTTGGAGATGGAGATGGAAAATCCAGGTTTCGGGAGTTGTTAGGCACAGCGAAGGAGATTTACACTTCAGGCAGCAAAACCCGTGTGGAACGTACACAGTAACGTAGGCGAACTGTCCACAGAACTGCTGCTGTATGACATTCTGCAAGTTTGGGTTCTTCTGTTTGGAAAGTGTATCTTCCAACAGTGACAAGAAGAGCTTTGAGAATTCCTGGGCATCCTAGAAGCAGGAAAAATATGCTTTAACCGCAGGCAGGGAAACACCACTGGGGCTTACAGAATATAGTCTATCAGGTTCCCACATAGCAATGATAACTTTAAAAGCTGATGCTGGCAAAACGTAAACACTTGTCTAGTAACATGACCAAAATGAATCCGGCCACTTTCTAACTGCTTCTTTCAAATCAGGGTTGCGCAGGAACCTGTTTCAGCAAGTAAATGGATCAAGGTGGGGCTACAACCTGGACAGGAATCCTGTTCATCGCAGGGCACACACAGACATGCGCACACACTCAGCCTCACACCAATGACAGTTTTCCCAGAAGCCAGTTTACCTAACTGTGCATCTTCGGACAGCGAGAGGAAACCAGAGCACCCAAAGAAGACCCACACAAACACAGAGTGAACATGCGAACTTCACACAGATAGCACAAGGTCCAGAATTGAACCCAGCAATGATAACCACAGCACCACCATGCCACCCATCACCAAAACAAATGTTCAGCAAAAACATTGAAGTACCTGTCCCCCCCAAAAAAAAGATTGTTTTTCATAAAGCATACCTGCTGTTGCCCCGTATCTAGCCCTAGTGCCTTCACAAGACCTGAGGGGTCAATGTATCGTCTATTGCTGTTCTGCAGCAAGGCAAATAAGTACTGCAGATGTTCACATATGGTCTGCGGTTCATAATCTGCACAGAAAAAGCAAAGGAACAAGTGATGCATTTCAAATGGTTAATTATGCATTGATAGAGAAGCATGACATTGTGACAGACTGTTATGCTTCCTGGCCTGAAGGCGGAAACATTTAAAATTAGGTTTTGAAAATGTATGCATGCCTCTCCTGATGGTGCAAACCTTTTATCTTTATTCTCCCTTCACACACTAACGATCAGAGGGAAGAGGGGCAATATTTCTGACCTGAATCTAAGTCGTGTTCCTCTGCCCTGGGGTTCTGACACAGGTAGAGAGTCTGCCGCAGCTCCAGGTTGTGGAACCACACCTGCAAGAACGTGTTCACATAGCAAGTGGCTCCAAGGTTGGTCAGCCCTACAAACGTATTCTGAAAAAGACATGAGACATATTAGAGAAAATGCCTAATTCAAGGTGACCTAACATCAGCCCAAATCAAGTCAAAAGGCAGAGTAAAGTTTGTGTCCTAAACCTGTCAGAAATCCATGCAATTGGGTGTCCTGAACTGATATACTGAACTTTTCATAATATGGAGCTATACCAAAGTATAATAACCCAAAAAACACAAAAATCATGTCATGGAGGTACTTACAGAGACTGTTATAATCAGTTATAATCTTTTGATATGATTCTGCTCTCCCTGATAGATCCCTTGTCGTGTTTTGAGAATTAGTATGTATTTAAGCAAAATGGCTTTTAAGAACCCATTTCTTTTAAAGATGAATAGAAGGAAACGAGATGAGAGGCCACAAATATGACAGTGAAGAACAGCCTTCCACCTGCCACGTATAATCTCTAAGAACCCTCATTATTCCTGCTCCTTTCTTTTGATCCGGAGGAAAAATTATTTTCAAAACTTGTTCCTTTCTGAACCAGAACAGCAAAAACATCTGAGCAAGGAATAAGAGGGATGGATATGAAACAAAAGCCATAAAACAGCTGGAAAACATTTCCATCCTGCGAGCTCTTGTACAAAAGGATGAGTGAATCACAGTAAGTACAAGCACATAAAGGGGTGAGGTACCTTGTCTCTTCTTTCCGAATTTGGATCATCGATATTGTGGAAGGAATTCTCATCGATCTCTCCCAGCCAGAGGTGCTCCCCAATGCCAACCAAGCAGTTGGGATTTGCCTTGCAGTTCCTTCTGCACAGGTGGGTATAAAATCCAGGGAAATCAGACTACAGTACATACAGTACAGTACCTGCTTACACATACTATTTTGAGATTCCTTTTTTGGACTGCATTATCCAATAATAATTACCGCAATGTCTCCACATATAGAAATAAGAACAGAGGACTTTTTCGGTTTAGTAGCTGGTCAAAACCTTGTCATGTTTCCAAACTAATTACTAAACCCCATTAATACAACAAACACAATGGATATTCACCATGCACGCTGTTTACACACTTCCAAATGCAAAGATACAAAGGTATTCACCCCATGACACATAGTGTGTAAAATTAATCTGCTCAAATAGGGGGTCTGTCGGCCTGCTGCTCTGCTTTTAATATTGAGCACTGCTCATCAAAATGACACTTTTTTATCGTTCATGTTTAGAACTATTATTGAGGGAGGTGTCTTGAAAGGAGGACCCAAGACTGGAAAAATCACAGTTCTACTAAACAGTGAGAAACAATTCACAGACGTACAAAATACACCACGCATTTTGGCTGAGGATCTGTGCCGGTGGCTGGAAGGTTGCCGGTTCGTATCCCGCGGCCGGCAGAGGAATCCTACTCCGTTGGGCCCCTGAGCAAGGCCCTTAACCCCAGCTGCGCCGTGGCTGACCCTGCACTCTGACCCACAGCTTCTCTCTCCCTATCTGTGTGTCTCATGGAGAGCAAGCTGGGGTATGCGAAAAGACAAATTCCTAATACAAGAAATTGTATGTGGCCGATAAAGTGATCTTATCTTACATTAGGCACCAGGGAATCATATTGATCTCTGCCATTTCACGACTTTATAGTGAACATATGAGAAAGTAAATCCTGAAAAATGTTGTGTGAATAAGATGGTGATCTGACACTAGTTGTCAAGCATTGTTTCTTATCGTTGTCATCGTTCTACCTTTGTGATCGTTTCTGTTTCTCCAGAACGGAAAATGAAAAGGTATGGAACGACGTTTTATTAAAGTTCGGTTTTAAACACACACGGGAGATGCATGATGACAGTCGGGCTGAAGTCTGTTTCTCCACAGCTCAGTCCTTGCGGGGGTCAGCCAAGTCAGAAGGAAGAGTTTGTTCCGAAAGCAGATCAGCACTGCTACTGTACGAGAGACGTTTAAAGAACCGAGCAGTCACATGAAAAAGTCGTGCAAATTAAGATGCCCGAAGAGGCAAACAGTCCCGCCGATTCTGCAGCTACTGTGATACGATCTTCTACGGAAAGGAGCTGAAATGAAGTTTGCATTTTACACCTGAAAACTTCCCCGAGCTGGCGTTTGAGTTTTAGGTGCACAACAAACCCCCCCTTACCTGCAGGAACCCCTCTTGCACGCCGGCAGCCTGATGCGGTACGCCGTCTCGATGTGCTCCGCGCTCACCTCCTCGGGTTTCACCGCCTCGATCCAGCGCCAGGCTGCCCTTTCCAGCTGCAGCCGCGGCGCCATTCTCGCCGCTGCACAGCGCTCCGTCCCCGGGATGGCGAGACACGATAGGCCGGGGATTCACCGGCCTGGCGTCGACAAAGTGCTCTCCAAAAATATTGCAGTAACGCACACACCCCCCTTTAAAAAAACCTCCGAATTCGGTATTTTATCTACATAAATACACGTCGCCCTACACGTTGCGTATTTCCAGGGCACTGTATTTAGCTAGAGATACATGCTTGGCTCCGTACGGTATATTTGATCGATCACAGATGTCGAAAACAAACCCTGTGCTTGCATCCACAGTGAATCGGTAGTTGATAGTTGATTCGCACAACTACCAGTACAATCAAAGGCAAAACTTATTTTTCGAAATGCACAAATGGACGAAAAAGAAGAGATTTCTCGGTTTTCCACCAATGTAACTTCATTACCGGTAGACCATTAGAGCAGCCAGTTTAGTGTGGAATAAAAAAGCACGTTTTCTTTTAATCATTGCTGTTTTAGTGGACCTGGAGCCAGGCACTGCTACCAGATGGAAAGTTCGAGAAATCTTTAATTTATTCAGATCCCTTTCAATATGAATTTGTGATTAGTTCGTTCTTCCCGGGTACTGTTCAAACCTGTCTTTATTCTTTGCATTCGGAGTTCGTGTGCCTTTACCAACAAACGGCTGGACATGCGACTGGTAATTTGTTTTTATTTTTCCATTTCTTTTGCGTTTCATTCCTCATTTTTGATAGTCTGCGTTAGTCCGCTTGCCAGTTGTCACCTGTCCCCCCCCCTCCCCGTTCCCCATCTATATTTTCCTCCTTCACTTTCAAACTTGTTTTGGGGACCGAAGTACTCACGTAACGTACGCGCCTCTCTGACGCTCCGAGACGTGCGGTGCGCGCTTCCTACGTGCGCCCCGAGACGAGCAGGGGCGTGGCGCGGCGCGGCGCGTGATGGGGGCTCGGGCGAGCGGGGTGGCAGGTGCTCCGGAGAGCGCGCTCAAGCCCGTCGGCGCCTTAGAAACGCGCACACTAAAGCGAAATAAAGGGTTTATAGCACATAAGTGTGCGCTTAATGGATACACACTGCTTGTTTGGTTGACCAACCATAGTTAAATGCCGGAGGGATTTTGGAGATCTTGTCAATGAGGAAATTGGTTGCGACTCGCCCGGCGTTCATTCTGCAACGCCAGCGTTTTTAAAAGCTCCGTCTCTTGGTGCAGATTTGAATGTAAAGGTTCAATTGAGAGATGCTGATATTATATTTTTTTAGATTTTGTTAGACCTGCCTTGGATAACAGATAGGTTTTTATGATCAATCTGTTTGTTATTTTGGCGAAACACTTCATCCACAAAAAAGAAATGCTCTGTGGGGCTGCACATTGGTGGTGGTGGAGGGGATCCCCATTACCTGTAAAGCGCTTTGAGTGGAGTGTCCAGAAAAGCGCTATATAAGTGTAAGTAATTATTATAATTAATACTGCTCCCTCTATTAATGCTTTTAAGGTAGAATTCCTTTTTTTATTCACATTCTATTAGAAATGTAAAGAATCAAAATGCAAGACATACGATGGAAATATGTAAAAAGCTTAATTTTCTGCATTTAGAATTGTGAATTCCTCTGGCTGTGAAGTGCGTCTATTTCTGTATCTGTTTTGATATTTCGTCTCCTTTTTTTTTTGGTTTTTCTGATGTTGAAAAAACTGGTAAAAAAAATTGACGTCTTAGTCGCTTGCTTGAGAAGACGTGTGGACATTTTTTTTTTTTGCCGTGAAGTATATCGCTCGAAACGGTGAGGGGTAGCTGGTGTTCACTGCTGTCCCCTGACGGCTCCAACGTCCTTATCCGGCGGAGAAACACGGGGAAGAAGACCCTAGCTCCCCATTCTTTGTCACATTGGTATCAAAATATACTGGTATCGCCACTTCACATAGTTTAACGTTGCATTTCTGTATAGACCCATGCTGCGCTGTACACAGCCTGAATTGCGGGCACCAATTATTATACTGTGTATTACTATATAATAATAACAATAATAATAATAATAATAATAATTGCTTTTACTTATATAGCGCTTTTCTGGACACTCCACTCAAAGCGCTTTACAGGTAATGGGGACTCCCCTCCACCACCCCCAGTGTGCAGCCCCACCTGGATGATGCGACGGCAGCCATAGTGCGCCAGAACGCTCCCCACACATCAGCTATCAGTGGGGAGGAGAGCAGAGTGATGAAGCCAGTTCATACATCCCTTACAGGGCCGGACCGCCTGGATTTGCTCTGAGAAATGTTTCCCAGTTTCCTCCCCCAGTCCGAAAACATGCTGACAGATGAATGTGGCTTCTGGGAAAGCCGGCCCGAGTGTGGGCCCAGAGAGTACCCTGACCTGCGCCCGTTGCTTGCTGGGCCGGTCTCAGCTGGATAAGCAGTTACGAAAGGGATGGGTGGGTGTATCGCTTCCCGAGTCAACAACGGGGGTTTTGTTTTATTTTACTTGTTGCGAAAATGAAGTTCTGGGTTTTTGACTTGGCAGGGCTGAGACGGTGAACGCTCAGTGACCGCAGCAAGACCGGCGGTCGTGTCCGGTTCGGTATCCACTGGGAATCCGTACCCAGCTCCATCCCGCGCAGGCGCGCCGCAGCACTTTCCGGGACACTGAATGACGCAGGCAGCTCCCGCAGGGATGTTGGAGCCTTTGCTCAGTACGATCTGGACAACCGGGAGCCCCGTGTCTGTGGGCGTTTATATCGCTTTCTCGGCGTATTTCATGCGTTCGCTAGGGATTCGAGTCCTTTAAAAACATTAAATTATGTTTAAAATCTCTTTACACAAGATAGGGGAACCCGAAAGAAAGCACATAAGGGCCCTGTGCAATTTCTATCCTTATGCGTTACAAATAAATCACTCTTATCTGTGGAGGGTGAGGGAAACCAGACGTCCCCGAGATAGCGGTGCGTGCGCATTTCGGAGTGGGGGGACACATTTCCAGGGGATACTGGACTGGATACGACACCTGCTTTTGTTTTTTGAGATAACTCGATTTCTGGTTTATAAACGCGTACCGTCTGGTTTTCTTTGATAATTTGTGTTTTAAACCAACGTCATAAAATATTGTTGATTTTTTCTTCCCCGTAAGGCCATTTAACAGGGTTGGCCTGACTGCGCTGGGAATGGATGGGACTTTAATTCCGAACTCTTAACATGGTGCATTTTTGCTTAGACACAGAAGGGCTAGATGCGTTTTTGCCACAGTACTTTAATGTCGATCCTTACCTACGCAGTATGGTCTCCCGTCTTGCCCTCTGCTCTTAGATACACACTGCCAGCGGGGAGAAATAGAGTCAGGGGTGCACATCCTACTGCACTGTGACAGATATTCCGGGATTAGTGAAACATTCTTCCCTATATTCAGAAATCTAATCCCAGAGCTCCCACACCTGCCAGCGGTCTCCCACAACAGGTCCCAATCCTACTGGAACAGGGAGGAGGGAACTCAGTTGAACTGGCAGCCCAGTATGTGATCTCCTGCCACAGCCTGAGGAACAGTGAGTCTGTCCCCCAATAATGCTCAATATGTTTACAGTATATGTCAATATTTTGTGATATGTCTAGGTTGTAAATGTCTGTAATACGTCTGTAGATTTTTTGTTTTGTTTCATGTTCATTTTATTTTATTTGCTTTGGCAACACTGATTGTACCCATCGGTCATGCTAATTAAGCCCCTTGAATTGAATTGAAAATACCCAGAGGATGACATCACACCCCTCCCACTGCGAACGTGGGCTCGTCCCCTCCGAAAATCGGAGGCGCGCATACTGTACCTCTGACTAACTCGCGTGGCAGACAACCAAATAATCAGGGGGCAGGAGGATGCAGGATCCGTGCCGATGCGTGCGTGTCCGTGAGAATGCCGTGTCCACCCAAGACTCCGGTTTCACCAATCCAGTGGACTGACGATCCCCGCGAGACACAAACGAACGCAAAAAAACGCTCAGGTGGTTCTCTAGCAAAAAGGAAAACTGATTTTGGGGGGGCTCTCTATTAAATGTAACACAGCCTCGTGCGTTTTTCGAATGAGCGATTTATTACATTTATATAGCGCCTTTATCCCCCCAAGTGACGTTATACATGGTAATAATAATAATAATAATTGCTTACACTTATATAGCGCTTTTCTGGACACTCCACTCAAAGCGCTTTACAGGTAATGGGGATCCCCTCCATCACCACCAGTGTGCAGCCCCACCTGGATGATGCGACGGCACCCAGGACCAGCCGGCAGTGAATTCTGAATGGGATCTCAGGATGCACAGCTCCACTCACCTGGCTCGATCACTGTAGAACGGAAGCGCATTGCTGCCACTAAGTTAAAGTTAAAAATCCTCTCCCTTATTTCGTAATTGCCAGATAGTCATTCTTGCGTACTTTATGTGATCACGCGATAGCGCAATTGTCATTTAATACCTACAATATCGCTACGTGCGGACTTTCAGTTTTAAGCGGTGGGACTGACCGCACGTGTAACTGTTCATAACGGAACCGTCGTTGCTTTGATCTCTAAATCCCACAAAACCGGTCCTCGTGCTTATAATGATTCTGTTCATATTGGCTAAAAATTGCATGGTGTTATTATAACTAAACCCCAGTCGAAAGTAAATCCGTACTGGATGCGTTCAGTGCACAACTTAACAGGTTGTACATACTGTACACTGACGTAATCATTGCTACCTCGTAATAACGAGATTAAGGGACGAAGTTTTCCCCCTTTTTGGCAGCAATGCGCTTCCGTACTGTAGGGGTGGGTTCAGTTCCACACCCGGGATGCTGTCTGCGTGGAGTTTCCCTGTTCTCCGTGTGACGGTGTGGGTTTCCCCCGGGTGCTCCGATGTCGTTCTGCATGCCTTTGTCTGTGTGTGCCCTGCGATGCACTGGGGTGTACCCTGCCTTGCGCCCGTTGCTCGCTGGGTGTCACGACCACCAGCCAGCGGAGATCATCTTACAAAAGAACTGACCAGTACCAGCAGCGGGTTAATAATAACGAGCGCCGCCGCACGTGTTAATCCATCAGCACAATGTAAACCATCCTAACCCGCTTCCCGCTGCTCGGTATTGAGTCAACTGCTTGAGAGCGCTACCTGGTGTTGATTCTGGATTCAGGATTCTGGATTCTGGATTCTGCCACTAGTTGTACTTCCTGGATTTCAAACAACCTTTCTCCTTTTGACCACGGACTCGCCTGACGTACCGGATTGTTCGCCTGCTTCGTCACCTACAGTACCTACTCCTGCGTCTGCACAGGATCTGTATACCTTTTCCTTGAGGATTCCTGACACTGGGATAGGCTCCGTCTCCCCTCGCAATCCTGTATTGAATAAAGTGGTTAGAAAATGAATGGATCGATTCACTCCAAGCATCCAAGACTAAAATACTAAAAAAAAAAAACATCTCTTGTTAATTTCCACTTGTGTGCTGACTTCTTATAAAAAAAACCTTTCCCTCTCAGTCTTCTTCTGAATGTAAATGATACTTTATACCACAAATCCACGTCTTATGTTTTATCATTTTCGTTCTTTTCCTTAGGAAATCTATATAAAAAGATATACTGTGTATTGTGATCCCTCATCTACAGCAATATTATAATTACAAAAAATGCTAAAGAGTTAATGTAAGTTGAAATTGAATAATTTCTGCAGTGCACTTCCTTTACTATATTATCTTGTTTATGTTAATTGAGAACTTTCACAGCCTTACAATCATTAAGATTTCCAGTTTTACCACAAAAAGTGAAATGACTTAATTCTGCAGCTATGCAAATGTTTTAAAACCAGTTGTTCGGAGTAGGGGCAGCACAGTGCTGCAGTTAGCAGTGCTGCTTTGTAGCTCTGGGGTCCTGGGTTCAATTCCAGACCTGGGGTTCTGTCTGTGTGGAGTTTGCATGTTCTCTGTGTGATTATGTAGGTTTACTCCTGGTGCTCTAGTTTCTCCCCACAGTCCAACGACTTACTGGTAGATTATTGGTTTCTGGGCAACTGGCCTTGTGAGGGGACACTTTTCTGTGGATTGTTCTAGACAGAGAAGCTGATAAAAGCCTCCTTTGCTCCTTGTCCCAGACTCTCAGGGCCACCCACTGAGAACGTCCCATTAATTTTGACTAGGGGTTTCTAATATTGTGGCCAGCCGATGTGTTAGCTCCATCAAATGTTTGCTTTTGTTTTGAAAAAGTAGTTTCGCTCAGCTGTGACATTCTCCGGATTTAGTTGGATGTGTATTCACAAGATTACTTTCGTTCAAACTACAGGATAGATGACCCTGGCGTTAGGGCAAAATTGAAATGTTACGGATGAAATTCATTTTGTGAATCCAGGTCCAGCTGGATTCTAAAACTTCGACAGCTACGACTTTAACAGCTACCGCGTTATTAGAATCACGCCGGTTAACTGGCACCATTAACAGGTGTCAGCTTGGCTCACAGCTCTTGAGGTCTGTCCTTCGTGGAGGTTGCATGTTCGCATAGCATTCTCTCGCGTTTCAAAGCCGTGCTTTCAGTTAGTCAGCCAGTGAGTTTCCTAATGATCTGTGATCGCGTTGAGATGCACTGTACGAGTCAACAGCTCGGGGTTTAGTCTTACTTTACGGTACATTCTTCACGTTGCCAAGACACTTACCACGCATATACGACTTTTTAATAAATGGTGGCACAATTTCATGTTTTATTATTACTGCAGTCGATTGCTGTTCACGTTTATTACATAAATGATTTTTTTTGCAAGGTTTTTCATTGAGGGCAAACATTCTGTGGTGATCCCGGCGTTCGCGTCGTACAAATGGCCTCTTTAATGAACTTTTTCATTAATTAAAAAGGAAGTCGTTGCATACTGTACTATGCTGGGTTGCACAGGTTATTTTATTCTTATTCCTGACAGACCTTACTTTGAAAAGATCAGTTTCGGATCTCTGTTTTTTTTTATAATGATTAAAAAAACGTCCTTCGGTCTATAACGTTCTCACTGCGATAAAAACGGATCCCCAGCTTCTTTCGCCTGATATTTCTGGTCCTTGAAGTAATCCTGTGTGTTTACAAGGTCCTTACTTTCTCACTAACCTCTTTCTTTGTACGGGGGCAAATAGCCACTATACGGGCCGTGTTGACCCTTTAAATTAGCGCCGTTGTCATGGTGATCCAAGGACACCCAGAAACAAAGAGAGGGATAAGCTACACACAAAAGTCAAGTTATTAATCTCTACGGGATATCGCAAACTTATAAGAAAAAAAATAAGATTTTGTTTTTTTTTAAAGCATCAATCACCAGTACACCCATCCCGCCTTCTCCCCCGACGCCTGCATTGGAAATTCAAGGGCGACGTGTTAGCGTTTGTCGGTGGAGGTTGCAGTTGGGCTCCATAGAGAAACAGCTGTTGTTGGCTTAAGGGGAACCCCCGTGTCACGCGGCTGAAGTGGAGTGCTCGTTGGGAACAGCCGAGACGCATTTAGGAATGTCGAAATGGCTGACGCGAGGGACCGGTTACAGCGCCTGTCAAAACTATTTGTTCTGCTAAACTTTATGACACTCCGGGCTCATGCCATCGAGACAGGTAAGGAGACAAGGGAATCCATTTTTAAGATTTATAGGGTGCTTCATTTGTATATTTCCACATCCCACTTGCAATTAGCCTGACATTTTGTCCCGGGTGCTTAATTTATCTGTAGCTCTTGGCAGCCCGTTAGCACTTTTGTTTGTGCGAATTATGTACCATTGCCGTTATGTAGCTTTTAAGTTGCGCTTCTCTTTGACCTGCCCCGAGCTTTGTGGCCACAAAACTTCTGATGAATGAAAACGTAATAGGCTACTAACTGGCTTTATTGCCCACCAGAGACAGGAATATTGTAAAAAAAAAATATTTACGTGCAGTACAAATGATTTTTATTGTGGAAAGCAAGGAAGTAAAGCGTTTATATAGTGTCTCAAAACGTTGTTTAACGTTTGTTTAGATTGTGGAATTTATAGCTGACAAAACAATGCATCAATATTGATTTACATACATTTAAAGCATAGGCAAAGAAACATCTTTAATGTATGAATTATATTAATGCCCATTAATGAAACACACCAGCAAACACATTTGCATGCATTTACAGTGCATTACGTCCCCTTTTAAGCCTGTGGAGTACAAATTGACAACGCTTACAAAACTCAATATGAATGTTCTTTTTTTATATCTTTAATAAATCAGTTATAAGTTTCCACGAAATGTATTTATTTTTATTTATCCAATTAAAAGAGGGGCCCGTTTCCTTTGCCTTTGAATACCAAATTTTAAAACTACGTTCCTTCTTCCATTGACTCATGCTGGTTTTCTATTCTGGAGGCTTGCAGTTATTCCTAGAAACAAAAAAAATCGCTCTATAAATCACCCTATTTCAAAGCGTTGTTTTTCCTCTCCCTGCCAAAATTCTCCCCATCCAATTAAGATTTAAGTTCCTTTTATTTTTTTCTAAATC